GCCCTTGCCAACGAAGTATTTTCTGGAGTGCGTAATGATATTCAAGGATTTCGCTTTAAAAAGCCTCTGACCCATTTCCAGCCTGCCATCCTGGTTTCCTTATTAAAATTGTGGCTATTATTGTTTCTTTCAGCTACTTCGTATACAAGTTTTCGCAAATCTTTACTAGTCAGGCCAAAAACAACGAGTTTCCATAGTAATAATATGGTCAGCAACTTCCTGTTCAATAGTAGTGGAGAATATTGGTCTTCGTCCTCCCAAATCACCTTTGATACTTCCTTGATGCTTAATAAAGCGCCTTTTCAAAGTTGTTTTTGGAACGTTAAATGTTTTTGCTGCCAGCTTAAACCCCATAGTTTTTTCTTGTATGCTTTTTAAAGCTTGTTGCATATTACTCTCGTTCCACTGTTGCCTTTTTTGTAGAACCATCCCTGTATAACATATTATGTTAATCATTAAGTAACAAAAACTGAAGGTGTGTCCAATTTTATTTTCTTTTTCCTATGATGGACCCCTAGTCCGTCATAGGTAACGACATAGGGGTCCATCATAGGCAAATAGACAAGGCAGCAAATTTAATTCTGTTACTTTTGTTTTGACCATTTTAACCTAAAACAAAGTATAGTATTTGACAAAGAAAGTGTAGTCATTTTATACAAAACAAAAGCAACACTTAGCTTAACGTATGTTACCAGTAAAATGCTACTTACCAAAAAAATTTATTAGATCAGCAACGCCAAATTTTAATTTTATTTCACAAATTTACTGTTATAACAGCCACGTGTCTGTCTGAAACTTTGCAAATACTAAACTACAAACTTAGTGCGCAAGCGGCAACCGGCGATGTGTATGTAACCGCGCGCTATTTAAAATTACAGCCGGGGTCCATCATAGGCAGGGATCCAACATAGGCACACTTCCCCTATATATACCTCCAATATCCTTAGAGTATTGGTTGGAGGCCTCCAAAGGAGGCTGTACTGAAGAAATAAAGCGGCGGTCAGCAATCGCAAAAAGCGCTATGGCAAAATTAACAAAAATTTGGAAAAGCCATGAAATTACTACCGATACAAAAATGAGACTAGTAAGAAGTCTAGTTTTTCCAGTTTTTACTTATGCATCGGAATGCTGGACCCTTACTGAGAAAGACAAAAAGAACATAGATGTATTTGAGATGTACTGCTGGAGACGAATGCTGAGAATACCATGGGTGGCCCGAAGAACAAATGAATCCATACTGGTCCAGCTAAACATAAAGAAAAGACTAAGAACACAAATAACAGAACAGATAATAAGCTATTTTGGACATGTGCTTCGAAGAAATGGTCTTGAGAAACTTACCATCCAGGGAAAAGTAGAAGGCAAAAGAAGTAGAGGTAGATCTCCTACACGATACACGAACCATATTGTTGCTACCATTGGCGCTCCATTGTCAGAATGTGCTATATTGGCAGAAGATAGAAAAACGTGGAGGAACATTGGAAAAATTACCTAACAGCTTCATGATATCACGATACCTGCATCAGGTTAACGACTAAGAAGAAGATCCTTAGAGTGCCCGTCGGCGCAAAAAAGTTTGTAATAGATACTCTCTCCAAACATCTATCTTACTTTTCTTTGAAATGCCCTCACCTGCTCTTTTTGTGGTTTGGAACAGATTCTATAGTAATTATATATATATATATATATATATATATATATATATATATATATATATATATATATAGTAATTAAGTCGCGATATTTTTACACTCCAAACTCACTATTATTTCGCTAATTTAATTCTTGAATTTTAAGTTTTAATTACAAAACTCTTTCTTGCACACCAAAATCTATAAAAATCGTACAAACTGTTTCCAAGATAATTGGCACGATTACCCCCGTTCGGGGTGGCAGTACCATTTTTATCTTCAGTTTTAAGTACTAAAAAATAAAAAAAAAATGGTTCCAAGAGTATGCGCTCAAATTTCAAAATCAATGTTTTTGGAATCACAAAAGTGGATATTTTCTGTAGAGTTCTTCATATATGCCGTTTTAAAGCCAGTATGTATATAGTTAATGCAAATTCCTTTGATATAACATTTTCCTTACATCTTCCTACTTGATTCTCTTATTTTATTATTTATATTAATATTACAATTTTTTAATATAAGTATTTAAATTATTTTTATAAAATATTATGAAGCCTTTCCTGCTTATGAATGTTTCTTTATCGCTTATTACGGAGATTATTCCGACTTTTAAAGTTTGTTTAAAAAGTTAATATTATCTTTTCTCCTAATTTTTAATTCTTGGAACGCGAGCCAAAGAATAAGTTTTTTCTTTATAGCAGTAATTCCGTTATAAAATATTCAGAATGAGATTTGTACTCTTTTACTTTAGTATAAAAGCAAATTCAAAGGTTTATAATAAAGGTAGTTAGATCTTTTAAAAGCATTTATTAATTATTTATTCTTTATCATATTTTTATATAATTCCATAATTTATGAATTAGCCCAATGGGTTTGACTTGAGAAAAGTAAAAAAGCAATTTTTCTTTGCCTTTATCTCTATGCGCGATCTACTGCCTTATTATTTACATTTCTCCCTAAGTTACTATCTGGAGTTATACCAATGTCAATTACCCTAATAGACATGTAAATAACGATAATAATGGGAGATCTCAATGCAAAAGTGTGCAATGGCAAACCTTACCAATGGCAAGTTGAAAACCTTATTGGTGAAAATGGATTGGGAGTACGGAATGAAAGAGGTAAGCAAAAGCGCAGAAACAAATTGCCAAACACATAAAAAAGAAAGGAATAACACCAGCTTTCCAAACAAATAACAGCCTAGGCAAATATAGCAAAAACAACAAGAGCCAAAATAAAAACCACTTACACAGTGGTGTGTACAAACTTAAATGTGGCGACTGAACAAAAACTTACATCGGTCAAACTGGTAGAATCTTTAATAAACGAATAGCAGAACATAAAAGGGCTTTTAATAATAGAAAAACAGATTTTACATAAGCACTTCACCTTTTAGATCACAATCATTCTTTTAATGACGAATTTAAAATTCTTCACGTTCAAAATAAAGGCCTTAAGCTATCCTTGTTAGAATCTATGGAAATCAACAAATTAAAAAACGCAGATATAATTCTGAGTGGCCAACTTGAGACAAACAGTTCTCCCCTCCTCAACCCATTTCATTAGAGACTATAAAGTGTAAACGCATGCCAAAAATAGAAGAAAGGCAATCAGCCGAAACAGCTGTAAGTGATAACAGGTTAAAATAAATTTTGTGGAAGTTTGAAAACAAAGTTTTCAGTGTTTTATTGTTACATAAAATGAATTTCCATCAAGTTACGGTCGAATCCATAAATCAATACTTATTAACATAAGTCAATACTTTTTTAAAATCAATGAAATGATGAATTTAATAAGACAGCACAAGAATAAAGATATCAGTAAATATAAAGAAATTCACAAACAAATAAGAAGAAAGATAATGGAGAAGTGACTTATAGAAACATGTGAAGAGATAGAAGACATACAAAAAACTCGATGAGAAACTTCTTCACAAGAAAAAAGGAACTAACTGAAAATAGAAATATTAGATAGTGTAGCATTTATAACATGCATGGATGATAGATGTGGGTGACAAATAAAAGTATATTAAACAGAATGAATGCAATGGAAATTATGTTTTGAAGAAGAAGCTGCAGATTAACACTAATGGATAAAGTGAGAAATGAAGAAATTAGAGAATTACTCTGGTAATGACAAGCTACTCTGGTATGAACATGTTGGAAAGATAGGCGAGAAAAGAATACCTGAGAATTTTTAAATAAAATCCAAATGGAAGGATAAGTAAGTAAATAAATTACCTTCGAATTAGCCTAGAGAACAACTGTATTCCTAATACGAACAAGGTTTAACTTTGGACATTCTGGAAGAAATGTGTTAAAACTGAACACGTAAAGATAAAGTCTAAAAATATATAATGGTTGCTAAGTAGGCATTCGTAGCTTTCCTCCCAGAAAAAAAGCATTTATTTACAAACATATTTTGAAACCTATGTAGACTTATGACCTACAATTATAGGATCGTTCCAAAACAAAGCAATTATAGACACCTAGAAAGCCTCCAGGCCACAATACTAAGAAGTATTATAGGTGCTCCTTGTTATGTTCGAAAAACGATTTATATAGATTCTTTCATGTCGAAGTAAAGTAAGTAGTCTAACACAATATACCATGGACAGTGTTTGAAGTACACAATACAAAGTACAAAAATAGATGTGGGGGTGGTTCTTACGACATTTATATTACCCAAAAAAATTGAAGAAAAAAGAAATTAGAATATGCTACTAGAGTTAAATCAAATATATTTAACAAATAAGACAAAGAAAAATTATAAACAATTTGCCAAAAAAGGAGCCACCAAATTCTTTTTTCTAGCTTTGAGAAAAGAAGACGAAATATATAAAAGATAAAAACATTAAATCTAGAACATATACTTCCAATAAAAAAATATTATTATTAACCAAAATTCTACTTTCCTAGTCTCGGGGTGCTCAAGCTTTTTGTCAACCTCAGGTGGGAAGGCTTAAGCGAACTAAACCATTTGAGTAGTTTGTTTAAATGATAAGTAACTGTAAGGTAAATATAGCGATGGCGTTGTAGCCACAACCAGGAAGTTAGCAGTCAGTGAATAACAGAGTCAGTGCTGTGAAGAGTAGCGACAGTAGTTTAGACCAAAAACCACAACCATAAGTTACATCTAGATTACAAACTTTTTTTAGAAATTTTAGTTTAGAGCGAAAAAATGCTAATTAATGTTTTTCTTGTAGATTGCATTCCCATTATTAATAAAAAAAAAAACAAGTACATTCTGGGATATTATGCTATTTACCTGTTCTTGGCTCATCTTTCTAATCATAACATTACATTAAACACTTTGTACTAGTTATATATGTCTATTATTTAAACGAAATATTTATTTTTAATTCCACAGGAAAACCGATATTGAATCAGAAGCTCCAGTGCATCTAGTACCGGATGTTCGAACAACACCTTCAACCACAACAACGATTTCGCCTATCAGGGAGATAATTCCCATTACCAAGAATTCCAAAGTTGCCGAGGAAGGTAAGAGAGTTTTTATTTCTATTTTGTATTTAGATAAAACCCAGACAAAACTTAATTGTGACAGATTTATCTCTTCGTTTTTCTTCTTGGGCTTTTCTTCTTACCTTGCCCTGTTCTACTCTATGGTTTTTGCTCATATTATCATTAAAAAAAATTTTGTCCTAAATATTCCGTGATTTTCTTCTTTCATTCATGAATATTTTTTAACTAAAAAATCTGTTTTTTCCTAGACATATTCCGGTGTTTAACAATCTTTAGCAATTCCCTATCTTTGTTGACTTTCCTTAGTATTTTCTCATTAGTTTTTTTGCTGTCCAAAATATCTTTAACATCTTTTTATGAGTCTACGTTTTCAATGCTTTAATTCTGTTCATGCTTTATACTTTTACTGTCCACACTTCTAAAGTCTTTGCTTGAGATTATTTTAATGCCCAATCCTCTTCAATTTCGTTTTTTTGACAGAAATACTGTATCGTCCGCCTATCTTATTACATTAAGTAGTTCCCCCTTGATTTTTATTCCATATGGCTCCCTCTTAAGTAACTTTTTAAATAAATGGTCCGAGTAAACATTAAACAATGTTGGGACAAAATATTACCTTGTCTGACTCTTCATTGTACGGAGATATGGTATAATATGGAGTACGGAATCATACTCGTCAGTGTAGTTCACTTAGTAACACAAATATCCTATTCCTATCTTTTTTTAGCATCTGCATTAATTTTACATATTGTACTTTATCAAATGCCTCTTTGCCACGATGCCAAATGCCACGACCCATTCAAATACATAATTTCTTTGATCACGGTATTTTTATAATAGGATATTTAGCGCAACAAGTGCCTCCCTAGTTCCTATAGCATTTCTAAAACCAAATTGGGTATCTTCGAGACCTTCCTTTCACTTACATCTAATTCTGTTGTAAAGTGTTCTAAGGAAAAAAATGAGTGTGGCTCATTAGGCTAATAATTAATCGATATTCTGAGCATTTTCTAGCATCGTGTGATATAGGTATTGCGACAAAGATGGACTTTAACCAGTCTGTGGTAATTACTCTAGTGTTATATAGAGGGTTCAAAATAGAAGTGAACCAAGTCCACAATATCTACATTTGAGGTACAGAGGTTTAAACCTTCATAACAAAATTACCCGTTAACCTTTTTAAAAGTGTATATTTAATTTAATAAGGTCAAGGAGTAATTTAGACATTAAAATTGCTTTTATAGGCCAAATTTAATGTAAGAACTTATCAGAAATAATATTAGAAATATTAAAACAAAATACCACTTCTTAGGGCAAGAAAAAGTTAATTGACATTAAAAAAACGAATCATCGCAGTCGGTATCATCTCCCTCAGTCGCTTCGTTATCCTGGGTTTGACGAGTTGGCTGATTCCTTGGAAGATTTCGGAAGTATCCACGTTAAATAGGGTGTATGTAAGGTAGCAGAGATAATATGTCCTTCTTTTTTTGAAATTTATTTGTCTTCTGGTTGGGTAAAGCTGATCCTGCTGTACATATAGTCAATAAGGTTTGCAATTCCAAGGGTCTTCCAGGCCGGGTTTTACTTGTCTTTTTGAGATGTCCAAGGTGCTCCTTTTTAAGACTCAACCACCGTATCTTAAACCAATTAATTTGCCTACCTTTAGTGTTCTTTTTTCTTTTTGTGATTGAATCTTCAAGGGATTTTGTGCTTAAAACTCTTCTCGTGTAGTTTTACAACTTCAAATTGAGGCTTTTTCACTTTTGCGTTTTAATGATGTATCAGTCATCAGGCATATTGATGGTCCTAAGTTTCTTGGCTGATCTATCTATTAATCCGAATTCAGTATCATTAAGAAGGAGTGAGTGGCCTGCTATCATAAATTTTAAATCAATTGTTTCCACATCCAATAGAGGCTCTTGAACAAGTTTCAGTAGAGTATGGCTAGTTTTATATTCCTATTTTGATCAGTGCATTAGTCAGAAAACATAAAAATGTGTTTAAATGTTTTGGCATGTTCATATTAATGTTTCTTAAGGCATAAAATTAGATGTTAGTAACCCCTTCCACGTTGTGAGTTTGGGAAGAGTATCCTGCGAGGCTTCCGATGAATCTTTTTTAGTTCTGAGCTAGCTTGTTCTGCTCGCCTTAAGTACAGTTCTCTTTATGTCTTTAAGTCGGCTGTCTTTTTCTCATCAGTCTTTGCACGGATTTTTTTTAAATAACTTCTCACAGTTGCTGCAAGTGTCCTTTGAAGGATGTTTAAAGTGCAATTTAAATTTTTAGCCGATTACTTGTTAGTAATATTTTTCTTTCACAGGATTCCTGTTCTCACTTTCATATTTCTCTTTGTATAAATCACACATTTTTTTAATATTCAAATCTGGACTTAGGTATCTTTTGTTTTAATTGTTTTTTCTTGCATAGTGACTTTAGTAGCAAAAAAATGACTTTATATGAACAACAACATATGAGTCATCAATTTTACGCGACCCCGTTTTTACCCTTGCGCCAATAACGGAACAATCATATCCATATCGGATACAGTTATATCCAGAGGAAAATATCTTCAATTGCGTTACCTTATTACTGCGAGATGTGTGTACCGCTGTTACGATTCAAATTCCTTGTGTTAACTTTCCAGTTTTCAAAGTTCGTCAGGTGCTTTCTTCCTCATGAAATCTCTTTATTTCCCAATCTAAAAGAAAAAGGAGAGGAATGATGTTGCTGTTAGAAGTATTTGAGACAGGTACGATGTTACCTGGAGCTCTATCACCGTAAAACAAATTAACTTGTAAAAAATAATTTCCCATACAAAACTTATCTATAAGACAGTCAAGAGAAACAAATAGACAAAATTTTCTGTTCGCTAATATCTTGCACTAGAATAAAATTATTTTAAACATTTGATTTCATTGTCGGTGATTTAAATACCTTTCTCTCTTGATATACTGGTTTAAGTCAGATCATGAGAGAAGTTTTCGGTTTGAAGGCTATTCGCCTGATGCATCCATTTCAATTTAGTCGACAAAACAGCCTGGTTATAGTCAGATAAAGTATCACCCTCTAAAAAATATATGAATTAGATGTTTACTGCAATAGGTCAGGCTGGGATACACACTTCAACCAATATTAAACACTTTGAGTAAGACTCCTAAATTAAACTATAACAACATTGTATTTGATTGATATATGGTTAAATTCTCGAATAAATGAACTTTGATCAAATAAAAGGCAGATACCAAGCACAGTTTTATTAATTAAATCTTGCCCAAGTAATTTCGCTTCCTAGAGCATCTTCAGGGACATTTCGTCAATTGTGGCCTATCCAAAAAGAATAAAATGTTATAAACATAAAATTGTACATCACACTACACTACACAAGGATAAACACTTTAAATTTTTTTAAAAATAGGCGAAGCTACATTATGTTCGGAAACTGGAGACAGAATGGAGACCGGAGACAGAACTTTGCATTTCCTTGTGTCAAATTCGCCTAGCGACCACTCTTCACTTAATCCAGATGAAATATCCATCGCATAATACAACTAGCCAACAAAAATAATGTGTAATAAACTGTCAAAAGCTATAACTAAAGGTTTAAAGCACGCCAACACAAAACTAACTGTACAGGGTAAACAAACACTACCTGGACTTGATTCAGTACTATTCTGACAGAAAATAACAATCAGTCAGTGAACACCAGAACTTACTCCTAGTAAGCCTAGCGGATATTATCAGAACTAGGACTTGGTTCATTATTACACTGAAAAGTTACCTATCTGGTGCATGTTATAGCGTTGTTAAATCGTAAATGACAAAGAGTGTTCTTAGTTCACTTCTATTCTAAACCCTCCATATATTGCATTAAAAAGTTTTACTACAACTTTTATGTTATCTTTATCTATTACCTTCAGCAACTAAGTTGGTGTATCCCCTGGACCACTAATTTTAGCATTTTTAGCGTGTTTTACCTCTGATTTTATAATTTCTGTCCATCAGTACCACTTTGGTGGGATTCGGTAATGTTCTTTTTGTGATCTTCAAACAACTCTGATATATACAGTTGCCATACTTTTCTTATTTCGTTTTTATTTACAATAATTTTGTTGATATTGTCAAGTAAAACAGAAGGAATTTGTTGAAGAGAATGGTATTATAAAAGACCCTTGCTCCAAATTTACAAACTCACAATGGTCTGTATACTCACAAAAACCAAAGAAATTATGTAGGCGGATTTATATAATTCTAATAACCATTCATCCTTTCAATTAAAACCGTTTCAATTCGGGTGTTTTTTGTTGTGGAGGCGTAAGTAAAACATAATCATTTGGTACAGCAATTGAATCGTAGCAGCGGGACCCATCTAATTGGCGGTGCATATCTAAAAATGCAAACGTTTAAATTTTCACGGAAGTTAACTAGCGGAAGCGTGAAACGCTGAAGAAGTGAAATTATCAGTCCAAAACCGACGGTCATGGCGTGATGGACAGTGTAAAAATTCATTAATCCCGTCAACCAGATTTAGAAGAGTAAAGTAAAATAATTAGTAAAGTGTCTCTCTCTCTTCTTCTAGCTGTGTCGAAAGCTAAAATATTCCATAAATAATTACTTTGGTAAAAAAAGAAAAGACGTTATGTGAGACAACTATACTTCTTGATACAACGTCGATAGTTTTGCCGCAGAGTGGATTTCTTTATTCCATAATTATCAGAAAAAATTCCATAAATCCCCAAAAATCCCATCAAAGAACTCTATATGGATACAGAAAGCCAAGTCATATGCAATGGTATAACATCTGACCCAATAGCTGTGCCAAACGAAGTAAACAGTAAATTATTTATTTGTATGCTTACAGCAAGATATTATCTTATTAACGGGGTAAAACTAATGACAGCGCTTCTTATATACGTAATATTAATATTAGAATTATCTGGAATGGTCCACCTCAATTCTTCACCACGTGTATTCTTTACTAACACCTGTTTCGCCATATCTCGATCGCTATCTCAAAGGTT